GCTAAGGCAGCTGCACCTGGTGCAAACATCACAAAACAAGAGACCCGAGAACTAGAAAGGCGAGGCTTCACCACCCATTTATCCCTCCACCTTTCAATTAGCCCCACATGTGATTATTGGCCAGGCTGGCACAATTAACTAACTCAGGCTCATTGCTCCCGATGGAGCTCCATAGGCTCCCTGTAATGGCTCAGCCTGGTAAGAAATGTTGTTGCTAGCTGCCATCGAGTGAACTGGCTTGTGGTGACCTCCCGCACGATGGAATGAAATGAAATGCTAGAAAAACCAGACACCTCCCCATGATCGGTTGTCAATTGGCTAGTTTGAGGAAGTAAATCTTTCGGCCTTCCTTCCTAGTCTGTCTTACGTCTGGAAACATTGCTGAAACCTGTTCAACAGCACAGCCACAAATAGCAACAGGTCAGCCACCTCTGACAGACATGTACTCTATCTGCACATGAGGTGCACAGACCAGGAGCCAAACCCAGGTCTCCTGCACAAAAAGCAAAATCCCACAGTGGAGCCCCCAGTGCCCTTCGTTAGAACATAAGCAATGTTGCTAGGTGCTCTCAAGCCTGTACCACACAATGAAACCCTGCCAGGTCTTGTGGCATCTCAAACTTTCTTGAGCACTTTGTTGCAGACTCTGAGCCAAACCCTCTTGGTAGGAGTAGCCGATATCTTCTTGGGAATTTCTGTCATGGATTTTTGATGGTCCAGCTAGTTGAGTAGGATTCAAATGTCAGAAATCAGCCCTGGATGAAGGGGGAATATCTGGCTAAATGCTTCATTTCCAGTTCACAGCTCCACAACCATTTCTATCATGGCATGAAAATATGGAGCCAATTGTTGGCATGAAGCCTTTGTGCTTGGGCTGTGCTGAACACAGAGCTCCTTCGTGGAACATGCTGCCCATCTCTGCTGGCAGCTTATCTTGTGAACTTGAGGAGGACAGAGTTTGGGAATGGAAAGCATGACTTGGCCAGAATGACCCCGGGGAAGCCTGGGCTCACACTGGCTGAGAACGAGCAAGGCTAATCTAGGCTCGTGTAGCCCATGGGTGCTGACTGCCTTTACACATTGTTGGCAGCTGTTCAGTTTGTGAAATATCTTCTCAAAAACAAAAACAAAACCATCTTCTGGAAATCCTTGAAAAACTCTCCATATCAGGCCATGCCAGGCTGACATTCCTGTGGGAAGATGGTGGGTTAGGAAGTACAAGCACCTGTGGAGGAGCCCTGCAGAATGTTTGACTGGTTCTTGGTGGAATTTGAGCCTATAATCCACACCTCCATCCCCATGAAATCTGAGGTATGACTGGATTCATTAGATCCAATGTCAGGCAAACATGGAGATGCTCATAAAAGAATCATCAAAAGGGAGCAGGGGATAGGTCAACATCAGGGAAGCAATGTCCGGTAAGTTGAGAAAGATGGGGCTGATGTTGGTGATATGGAAGTTGTGGGTCAAGGGCTGGTTCTTGTGGTCAGGACTGATCTCCCACTAGGGTATTGAGACTGTGGGAATTACAACTACTGTCCTCTATGTTAAGCCCAGAGGGTTTGATGTCTAGCATCTAAAGTAAGCCTTGCACCTCATTTACTGGATTGGGTTTCATCAAAGGAAAGCACTGGGAAAAATCAGGCTAAGGGATGCTAAAATTCAGTCAACTAACCAGTCAATCAATCAGTCAATCAATCCAATGGACACCAATATGTTCAACCAATTTCCAACAAGTTGATTCTGATTTTTGGTCAACCCAGGTTTGTCTAAGTCGAACTGCTTCATGGTATTTTCACTTATCAGTTGGTGTCTGGGCTTTTAACCATTTGTCCACCACCCAGGGACTCCCCAAGGATGCTTGATGCAGATTCCTTGGGCTCTGCTGGGGTGATAAGTATTAGCTCTTCTCTTTGATTCTTCCCTAGATATCGCCAGCTCCCGGAGCACAGGTTTCCAGTGCCGGAAATAGACTCCTTTGCATCCACCGTCCACTTCCTGAGATCTCTGAAGGATTATGGGGTGGATCCAGCCCGAGTTGTGCTCTGTGGTGATAGCCTGGGAGGGACAGTAGCAGCTCGGATTTGTCAAAAACTTGAGGAAAGACAGGATCTCCCCAAGATCCGTGCTCAGATTCTGATCTATGCCAAAATGCAAGGCTTGTACTTCCAACTCCCTTCCTATGAACAGAACAAGAATGTGCCAATGCTCACTCGTCGCTTTGCTACCTACTGCTTTTCTCAGTACATGGATATCAACCCTGCCTGGGAACATGTAATCTTTAAAGGTGGCCATCTGCCGACAGAAAGCTGGGAAAAGTATAGAAAGTGGCTAGATCCAGAAAACATCCCACAGAGGTTTAAGCAGCGAGGATACCGGCCAGTGTCCCGTATGCCCCTGAATGAGAGTGCTTACTTAGAAGTGGGTCTGCGTCTGGAAAGGGCAACTTTCCCCCTCATGGTTGAAGACGAAGTTGTGGCTCGGGTCCCAGAAGCTTGCCTGGTGACCTGTGAGTATGATTTTCTGCGGGATGACTTGCTATTGTACAAGAAGAGGCTGGAGGACTTGGGTGTGCCAGTGACCTGGCACCACATGGAAGATGGCTTTCACGGAGTGCTCAATACTCTGACCTTGAGGTTCTTTCAGTTCCCTTGCTCTGCAAGGATTATGAATGTAATCGTCCACTTTATCAAGGGATTGTGACTACTTTTCTTTCCTATTGGAGCCATGGAGGGTGTGGATCCCACCATCATCCCATTCTCCACGGGTCTCTGCTGCTGATTTAGGTGATTTAGGTAATGCTTTCTGTGAGGATAGGGAGGGCGTACTGCTGTCTGAAGAGAGAACAGTAGAGGGAATGGGTTGGGGATGCTCCTCTGTCCATGGTCATTCACTGTTGGGATATTTTGAGCTCTCTTCAGTGGTCACTGTTGAGTGTGCATCTGCATGCCTTGAGGACTTATGCATTCCACCTCACTTTGTCCAACCTGTGTGCATCCCTTGTTGCAGAAGATGATGGGTAGCTCGGGCTGGCTGGACCTAGGACTAACAGTGTAATCTCATGGGCTTTTGCAATGTGGTTTAGAATGTAGAGTTCAGGTGTTCTGCAGGGATCGGTGATGCTGGTGGAGAACTGGGCGCAGCTTCATCCTCTGGGTGAATGGTGATTCTTTTCCTGCACCTTCCCAACCTTTAAGTCTCTTGCTCAGAGACTTAACTGCCTGGACTGGAAGAGTTAAGTAAGTCAGCAGAGATCAGTTTTCGATGGGAGTTAGCACCCAGTGGCAAATGAAGACAGCTTGGGGCTGCCTGATTGAAGGGGTTCTGGAGTGACTGGGGATAAAAGTTTACCTTCCAACCAAGGATCTGAAAAAATGTTGTAGGTGGTAAAGGGTTGAGGCAGAAACAGTCCTGGGTCAGAGCTCTCCAAAGGCCTAATAGGACCAAACCCAGTCATACTCACAGTGGGGACTCAGGGAGGACCAAAGAGGCATTAGAGTAAGTTGTTTCTGTTTATGAAATAGAGCCAGAGCTCAAGTTAGCCTAAAAATTAGCCTTATGGAATATGAGCCCCAAGGGCACAGCCAGCACGGTCTGATTCAGGAGCGCCAACAGCGTCACCGGTGATCTCTTCTGTCATCCATTCTTCCTTCGTCTCTTCTGCTCCCCTCTCGTTGACTTCACTGTCATCTCTGTGTTCTGTCTCACAGTCACTCTCAAAACCCACAGCCACTGAGTCCATTGTAAGTCCGTGACCCTGTAGAACAGGTGGAACTTCCCCTGTGGGTTTATGAGACTGTAACACTTGATGAGAGCAGAAAGTCTCCTCTTTCTCCCGTGGATCAGCTGGCAGTTTTTAACTGACAACCTTGTGGCTAGCAGCCCAACAAGTAACCCACTATGCCAACAGGGTTCTTAGGTTCCCCAAATCATTGCAATAGTCACACAGATCTCACGGGCAATTCTCACAATTATAAGGTTTATTGTGGAAGTGAACAAGTGGAAATGCTTAGGATAGAGTTGTTTAGTCAGGGAATGTCACAAAGTTCTTTCGGGGATGCTAATAAATGCCTAAAGGGCATTCCAGTCCCTTGTAAGCCACAATCCAAATGGACCCAGCTCCAGCTCCATGGGTCAGCGAACCCAGTGCCCCACTTCAGTGCCCAAAGCCATCCCACTCCTCAAAGTAGCCTCTTGTGCAAAAGCATTCAGCTCTCCTTCCTCTGGGGCTCCTGATTCTGTTGCTATTGCTGTCCCTTGGCCACATCTGAGATATCACAGCTGTCTCCTGGGTCAAGCAGTTCACTGTGCAGGGATGTCGGGATCCAGAAGACATGGTTCACTCCTGGCTCTTGCTGGTAGTGAAATCCCCCACTGCTGCTAGTCAGGTTCATTGTAAACCTGGCTGGAAGGTAATCACAATGCAGCCTGGTACCCGTGACTCACAGGTGAATCCTATCAATGCCTTCCAATACCTTCTTACCCAGACCTATGCAGGACAAGGTTACTGTATTTAGTGTGCATTAGAGACTTTGCTTAGAATACCCACATTAAATAATTCACTGTTCCTGTGATCTCTCAATGTGGTCCCCTGAGAAAATCCATGCTTATATCTTCCCATATTCTGGGTGGTTCTATCAAAAATCTCATCCCGATTCAATGGTTCTATTGACTTTCAGTGGGCTGTTTCCAGTAGCCACACAAAAAGAAATGGAATGCTGTGATTAATCAGGCCCAAGGCCTGTGTCACTCTGTGAGTGAGGAGGGATGTCAACTCCAGCTGGCGGGGGTGGGGGTTGGGGGGTTGGGGGTGGGAGGGGTGAGAGTTGAGCAAGAAATGAATCCCTAAAAGGAGGATAAACCGATGTGAGGCAAACATCAAAGCTCACTCTCCGAAAGAAACAAAATTGAATCCTGATTCAAGATACTTGGTAGTGGCAACATATGTCAAGATGCACTGGGCAAATTGACCCCTGTTCCTTGGAAACAAAAATTATTTTGAAAGGGATGACTCGCCCCAGCTCGGGGCATGGAACCATGTACATCAAGCAGGTGATTATCCAGGGTTTCCAAAGTTACAGAGATCAAACCATTGTAGATCCCTTCAGCTCAAAACATAATGTTATTGTGGGCAGAAATGGAAGTGGAAAAAGTAACTTTTTTTATGCGATTCAGTTTGTCCTCAGTGATGAGTTTAGTCATCTTCGTCCAGAACAGCCGTTGGCTTTGTTGCAAGAGGGTGCTGGTCCTCGTGTTAGTTCTGCATTTGTGGAGATTATTTTTGACAATTCGGACAACCAATTACCAAATGACAAGAGGAAGTCTCACTTAGAAGAGTAATTGGTGCCAAAAAGGATCAGTATTTCTTAGATAAGAAAATGGTCACAAAAAATGATGTGATGAATCTCCTTGAAAGTGCTGGTTTTTCTAGAAGCAATCCTTATTATATTGTTAAACAAGGAAAGATCAACCAGATGGCAATAGCACCAGACTCTCAGAGACTAAAGCTTTTAAGAGAAGTTGTTGGTACTAGAGTATGTGATGAGTGAAAAGAAGAAAGCATCTCCTTAAATGAAAGAAACAGAGGGCAAGCGGGAAAAAAAATCAAAGAATTATTAAAATACATTGAGGAGCGGTTACATACCTTAGAGGAAGAAGAAGAAGAGCTAGCTCAGTGTCAGAAGTGGGATAAAATGAGATGAGCCCTGGAATATACCATTTACAATCAGGAACTTAATGAGCCTCATGCTAAACTCGATGAGCTTTCTGCTAAGTGAGAAACCAGTGGAGAAAAATCCAGGCCATTGAGAGATGCCCAGCGTGGTGCCAGAGATAAAATGGAGGATATTGAACACCAAGTTCGAGAACTGAAAACAAACATTTCAGCCATGAAAGAAGAAAAGAAACAACTTAGTGCTGAGCATCAAGAACAAATTAAGCAGAGGACAAAGTTGGAACTTAAAGCCAAGGATTTACAAGGTGAATTGGCAGGCAATCGTGAACAAAGTAAACACTAAAAGAGAGGCAGACGTTACTTGAAAAAATAGAAGAAAAGCAGAAAGAACTGGCCAAAACAGAACCAAAACTCAACAGTGTCAAAGAAAAAGAAGAGCGAGGCATTGCTAGATTGGCCCAAGCTACCCAGGAAAGAACGGATGTGTATGCAAAACAGGGTCGAGGAAGCCAGTTTACATCAAAAGAAGAAAGGGATAAGAGGATTAAAATCCTTAGACCAGGCTATAAATGACAAGAAAAGACAGATTGCTGGTATACATAAAGACTTTGAAGACACAGGCAAATAAAGAGAAAAATTTGGAACAGTAAAATAAACTGGATCAGGATCTTAATGAAGTCAAAGCTCGAGCAGAAGAACTGGACCGAAAATACTCTGAAGTGAAAACCAAGAAAGATGAATTACAAAGTGAAAGAAATTACTTGTGGCGAGAAGAGAATGCTGCACAGCAAGCTCTTGCTGCTAAAAGAGAAGATCTTGCAAAGCAGCAGCAACTTCTTAGAGCATCCACAGGAAAGGCCATCTTAAATGGAATAGACAGCATAAACAACGTGCTGGACCACTTTCGACGAAAAGGAATAAACCAGCATGTTCAAATGGCTACCATGGCATGGTGATGAATAACCTTGAGTGTGAGCCAGCTTTCTACACGTGTGGAAGTCACTGCTGGCAACAGGTTATTTTATCATATTGTTGATTCAGATGAAGTCAGTACAAAGACTTTTATGGAATTTAATAAAATGAATCTTCCTGGAGAAGTAACTTTTCTGCCTCTCAACAAGTTGGATGTGAGGGATACTGCCTACCCCGAAACCAATGATGCTATTCCTGTGATCAGTAAACTAAGGTATAATCCCAGATCTGACAAAGCTTTCAAACATGGGTTTGGAAAGCCGCTTATTTGTCGTAGCATGGAAGTTTCAACCCAGTTGGCGCGTGCCTTCACTATGGACTGCATTACTCTGGAAGGTGACCAAGTTAGTCATCGGGGTGCGCTAACTGGAGGTTAATTTGACACAAGGAAGGCACGACTTGAATTACAAAAAGATGTTAGAAAAGCAGAAGAAGGGCTAGGTGAGCTTGAAGCAAAGCCAATGAAAACCTGCGCAGGAATATTGAAAGGATTAATAATGAAATTGATCAGTTGATGAACCAAACGCAGCAGATAGAGACCCAGCAAAGGAAATTTAAAGCATCCCGAGATAGTATATTATCAGAAATGAAGATGCTAAAAGAGAAGAGGCAGCAGTCAGAGAAAACCTTTATGCCTAAGCAACGAAGCTTGCAAAGTTTGGAGGCAAGTTTACATGCCATGGAATCTACCAGAGAATCATAAAAGCAGAATTGGGAACAGACTTGTTCTCTCAGCTTAGCCTGGAAGATCAAAAGAAAGTGGATGCACTTAATGATGAAATTCAGCAACTTCAGCAGGAAAACAGACAGTTGCTGAATGAAAGAATTAAATGAGAAGGCATAATTACTCGTGTCAAGACATATCTCAATGAGAATCTGAGAAAACCCTTAGACCAAGTAGAACAGGAACTTAACGAACTGAGAGAGACAGAAGGGGTTCTGTTCTCACTGCCACAACATCAGAACTTGAAGCCATCAATAAAAGAGTCAAAGATACTATGGCACGATCAGAAGATCTGGATAATTCCATTGATAAAACAGAAGCTGGAATGAAGGA